AAAAATTTTTTTTTTTTTTTTTTTTTTTTTTTTTTTTTTGGTACTGGGGATCAAACATGGGTCCTTGCGCTTGTAAAGCAGCTGCCGGAACCATTGAGCTAAATCCCCAGCCCCAACATTATTTTTTAATTGATTGATGAAACTGATTATGTCTTTAATCCCACATGTAATTTTACCTATCAACTTCACCCACACAAAAACTGAAAATGCTTCATATTTTATACTGCACCCAACAATCACATTTTCTGGTCCAGTAAGAGTAAAGAATGCATAAGGATGTAATAGTGTATAATTTTACATAGTTGCTATTTCACAATGACAAAGATCTGAGAAATGATTGTAAAGATGAAAGACTGGCAAGAAACAACTGGGAAACAACATTAGAGATCTTTTGATTTCACCATTGTATAACTCATTATAATACCCTATTGCTGGGCCAGGGATTAGCTCAGCGGTTCGGTGGCCTGCCTCACAAGTGCAAGGACCCCAGTTCGATCCCCGGTACCAAAAAAAAAAGAAAAAAGAAAATACCCTATTACTCAGAAATGCCCTATAATTCTCAAAAGTACATTGTACTCTTTGCTATATGCAATCTTATTCAATAATTTATGTTTTTAAAGTAGTATCAAAATAGCTCAAATGAAATACTGTTTCCCTGTAGTTTCTCTGTTCTACACAATTAGTCCTGTTTCTCAAATACTTACAGGACTCTGAAGGCTTTCGGAGAAATCAGTTGTTACTGATAGATTTGAAGACTTGTCTGAATTGTAAATTCCAGAAGTTGTATCAATCCATTTTGTTTCAGGTGAACCTATAATTTTGGTAGCCACACTGGTGAGATTGAGGGTTTTATGCCGTGAAAATGGCAGGAAAGGTTGGTCTTTGCCCCAGTCTGATTGGCACATGAAGATCAAGTAATAAATAGACATAAACAATGAAGTGGAAAGAATAAAGTTACTGATTGCACACACAAAAAACATGCACATAACAGACAGACAGACAAATCAGGTAGTATGTGAAAGAAATGAAATGTTTGGGGCTTTACCAAAAGACCACCTTTCCAAAATACAAAGGTTAAATCATGTTAGCAAGGAAAAGACTAGCAAATTTGCTGACTCTTCCCAAAAATTACAAGGAAATATTATATTTTTTATATCATACACTGGTAGGTCTGGAGATGCTTGATGTACTTCCCTATCTGACCTTAACCTGTAACTGAACAGTATAATAATGGAAAATGTGTACTGAAGGTTATCTGAGAACAAACAATAGACATATGACCTACCATACCTTCTTATATCAATATAGTTATGATACTGCTGCAAGGAAGGTTAAAACAATGGAATTCTTAATATTCAACAGTATTATAAAACTCAGCATTATTATAAATGACTCCCAAATGTAGAAACATTTGTCTTTATATCTGTATTCAGTCAGATGAGTGCACTACTCAAATAATGTAGAATTCAGTAAATTTGCTAGTGAATACTTTTCAGACATATAATTCAAGATTTTCCCAACATCATGACAAAACATTTTAAGCCAACAATATAAAAAAATGAATTAAAGCACAACAAAAAATAAAAAGTTATTAAAGCAAACTGTTACAATCACTTGCTAAAGACCAGTTTCCCCATTTACAAAGCCAGACAAGGTGGTAGAACTTACCTGACTTTCCATAACGCCTGATATCCAGCACTAGGGTTCCAGTTTCTTGAGCACTAGCCATTGTTTCCTCCCACTCTTTTGTATTCATATATGAAAACTTAGTGTTGTTCATAGCAATAATTTCATCATCTACCTGCAGCTGAGAAAATTCTGCTGGGCTACCTAAATAATATAAAGTAAATGAAACAATAAAAAATAACCACACGTTTTACTAGTCAGTCACTACTTTGTATATTAAAAAAAAGACTTCTTAATCTCATTGATCATTTCTAATTGTTTTCAGATAAAGAAGAGTCAGTTTTCTGTTTTAAATTATTTGTGTATCCCCAGCATACAAAGTAACAAATGCTTATTTTATTTGATAATATATTCATCATTATTGAAAGATAATCTCACCTATTCAAGAAAATTCATTAACCTCCTAAGGACAAAGAAAATTTTTAATCATTTTTAAACTAAAACTGAGAAATACGGTGTACTGCACGTTGAGCAAATCAGATTCACTTTGCAAGGCAGCAGAAGAAAACATGACCACTTAACACTGCATACTATTACTGCTGTAACAAAAATGCTACTATCCTATTGATGCAACCTTGAAATTAAAAAAAAAAATCTTCTATAGCTAAAATATGCAAACAACAAGTTTCTCTTAAACACAATAGCTCTCATTTTAATTTTAGGCCTTCTAGCAATGTGCAATTTGGGGCTTAGCTAGGTACTATTCTGGTGGAGGAAGGGTAATCTTTTTACAAAAGTACCAAGGAGGGCTGGGGATTCAGCTTAGTGGCATTGCGCCTGCCTCCCGAGCCCAAGGTCCTGAGTTGGATCCCCAGTACCAAAAAAAAGTATCAAGCATCCAGAAGACACCATGAGCAAGAACTATAATACATAAATAATATAATACATAAATGCTCAAAAAACACATTACACTGAAGATTTAGTTCAGTGGCAGAGCATTTGCCTAACATATGTGAGGCATTGGGTTTGATCCCCAGCACTACAAGAAAGAAAGGAAAAGAGAGAGAGACAGAGAGAGAGAGAGAGAGAGAGAGTGAGAGACAGAGAGAGAGAAACCTACTGTACTGATTTATCATACAGCATGTATGTGTGTGTGTATATATATATATATATATATATATATACAACAAAACAGTATGAACATGATTTCATTCTGAATCCTTCATTAAATATTACTTTTTAATATCTTCAAAAATTCATCTTATACTTCTGACAAATTCTTATAGTCACAAAATTAAGATTCATCAAAACTAAAATTAATTAGACAAAGAGAATAAACAATATATAATTTGTAACCTCAACTAATAGTCTCAGGGAAGAGGATATATCTCCTCCACATAATAATGCATTTTTCACATTTTCTTTTCCCATATCAAATAAACTAATGTCTACAATGTTTTCTCCTGAAGCATATGCCAACACAGAAGGTAGTTCAGTAGGGTTAAGTCTGTTTTACCTGCTTCAACTGATGCTATGAAGATTCTGGAATAATCCCATTTTATTGTAAACCCAAAGTCAACACTGTTCCCAGGCTTCTGGTTTATGCTGATTCTCATATCACTGAACTGATCCTGAAAACAAAACATGAACCGTTAGTATCAGGTGTCCCTGGCACCCACCAGGAGGAAAGTCTATCCATGAAAGATGGGAAGCTGTGTGCAAAGGACACTTGACTTGTTTCATGATAAACCAGAAGCTGCATTCTTTCTTCCCCAGGTTTAGTAAAACCTTCACGTATGTATGTATCACAAGTTTACTATTTTTATGATAACATAAGGAAAATCTACCAACAAATGTTTCTCTTTATTAAAATACCAATCTGTTAGTCACTGATAAAGTTTAGCCTTTTGTCTACCATACAACCATGTATAATTTACAAACCATTTATTCATTACCCAGAAATGAACAAGAGTGATTTAAAACTTTTTTTTTTTTTTTTTTTTTTTTTAAAGACAGGCTTTCACTACATAGCTCAGACTGCCCTGAAACTCACTGTGTAGCCCAGGCTGGTCTCAAACTCCCAGTGATCCTCCTGCCTCAGCCTCCCAAGTGCTGGGATTACAAGCATGCGCTACCACGCCCAGCATTAAATCATTTTTAAATGGCAACACATTTTTAAAACAAAATAAAAACCTACCACCCAAATGAAAACAGTCTTTGTAAATAAGGAAGGGTGGGGTGGGGGTAAAGGGAGGTCAGGGGTAAGGGGAAAAAAATAAGAATCAAAATACATCACATAAAGGTACAAGATCCCAATGGTGAATGTAATTGTACTGTATATCTAAAAAGTACCAATAAACTTAATGAAAAAGAAAAAAAGCTACCACCACATTGAACATACTCAAGAGAATAATTCCAAGTGGTTTATGTAATCCAGCTACCAGCAGTCGTCATCGAGGGCTTGCCCCTACTCTGCCCTTTGTGCATCTCAAATTTGACAATGCATTTTTGCTTGTCTAATCACCACAGGAGAACCTGGTGGTAAAGGTAAAGCTGTACACTGCCTGCAAAATAGAGACTCATAACCCCCTGACATGTCATATCCTGACATGACACAGGGTCCCTATGAGAAAATGCTGAGCTAGAGATCATAACTTTCTGGCAAAAAGCAGAATTCTAGTTCTACCTTCACTGCTACATGAAAAATAGCCCTGCATCTCCTAGACCTTCCTTAAGATCATTTTCTAAACCAAGATTTCAGTTTTACACAAAATTATGTTTGTGAAAACCATGTCTTTCATAATTTACATATATTGCTTTATCTCAGTAAAGCAACAAACACAGATATTAACATAATTAATACATGTATAATGCATTTACCAACTAGTCTTTTAGTTCTTTGTCTCATAACCATAAAGAACCGATGAGTTACCTATTTAAAAAAAAAAAAAGGAAAAGAAACTTCTCAAAGCTTCTTTACCTCCAGCCTATCAATTCTTCACTTTGATTTGGAAGCTAAACCCTGAATCAGGGCCAGCTGAGCAAGTAATAAAGCTTCCTGCCTAAGTTTTTCCAACCTTAAAACACATTTAAAATGAATGACATACTCTGAGAAAATCTGGGGTAGCACATAAGCATTAGGAAAAAAAAAAAGCAAAAGAGCACCAAATAAAGGAACAGGAACTTGCTATGGAACGTGTTTATGTAGAAGTAGTGTTAATACTACTCACTCATCTGTTCAACATACATTGGTTGTATATCTGTTTTACACAGCACGCAATATGGAAGACTTTGGAAATAAAGAAGCATTAGGCATGTCCTTGTTATCAAGAAATAATTACTGACTTCAATAGTATTTAAGTTTCTTAAAGCAAGACAATAACGTAGCCAATAATATGAAAAAAATTTTTTCTGAAGAAAGCCCTTTCTAAAGCAGTTAAAGCAAAAGTATCCAGAAGTAATCTGAAAAATTCATTGATAATCAGCATGATGGACATCAATCTGAATATAATAAAACTTTACTAAGAATAGAAAAAAATTACTAGTTAGTTCTACTCCTCAACCCAAACCATTATATACATAAATTAGAAGTGACTCAGCGAAAAAAAGTGGTCATCTTCACACTTACCAAAAAGAAAAAAAAACTGACTTAAAGCCAATTAAAGTACAGTTCAGAATCTATTATTATATAAGGACAGAGAAACAAATGATGAGTTAGATATTCAAAATGCTAATTGAGGTTTTTTAGCTTGAAGAATAAAAGACAAGATGGAATTTTAATAAATAGTCTCAAGAACATAAATACTCTGTGGGAAACAGCGAACATTACCCTTTTCTACACAATATATGATAAAGGAGAATGAATGTAAGCTATAAGGAAGAGTCTGGTAATTATATTAGATCAGAAGAATTGTCTAACAAAACTACTCTTACCTTGGAAATAAAGAAATCTCTGTTTGAACATGTCAAATAAAAGGATGGTTAAGCACTTCTCTGAAAGTGCTGAGAGGGAAGCCAGCCTTACCATGGCTATTGTCTGCCAGGCTTTTTATTGGTCCTTGGTACAGAAAAAGAGGGTCACATGGGCAGTTATAGGTACATTTCTACCAATAACCAGGTAACCTCAGGTCTGGCCCTGAACCTGGTACAGCCTTCTATCTGAGGTTTTTTGCTTCATTTTCAAAACTCTACTTTCAAATAAAAATCTTAACCAATACATAAAGATTCACATGGATGGCTATAGTTTGGGCATAAAAGTTACAGGGTCCATTTGTGAGGCTGTCCCCCTGGGGAATCATTGTAGAACACTGGTTTTTAGATTATGCCTGAGTCTCCTTACATCACGAACTATTCACTGATGATTTCAGGCAACTTTCTTCATCCTTATTTTTCTCTGCAATATATGCCAACTGAATATTCTACATGGAATCAAAGCTTCAGAAGATGAGAATAACAGAATTATCCTTTGAACTGGATAGAACAAGAATTTAAATTACTAGAGGAAACCTAGATACTTGATGAAAAATGAACTACCCAAGTGGTTTCAGTTGTTAGAACCAGGAATGAGAAAACAAGAGTTTCTGTCAACATCCTGGCATTTAAAATAAAAATAATTTCTCTGAACTTAGGTACAATTTGAACAGACATATACACCAAAAGCTGATTGTCTCTCCAACTGTCAAATGGATGAAGCAGAAGCACAAGACTAAATTTTTAAAGACAAATAAAGATCATCTGGAGTTGTGACAATAAGACTTATTTTTCCTGAAACTGATGAATTAAGAGTCTTGTGTCACCCCAGATGTGAAGTAATGAGAAACAGGATCAATCTTAAGTACTAATAAATCCAAAAATATTCTCCTCTAACTTTTTAAATTAGTAAAATATGCTGATTAAGGAGAGCTTACTTATTTAATAATAAAGGTAGATTTGGTTTTATAAAATTTTAAAAATGTTATTAGTATATCTTTATATCACATAATGATTACTTTCAACATGGTAGTATACATATATAACATCTTAATTCTTTTCACTTCTCCTTTTCTTCCCCACTCCCTCCCTGCTCTGCATCTCTTAGTCACCTCCTTATCTGCAAAAAAAAAAAAAAAAGATGACCTACCTATTTCCTATTCTCTTTTATTTTGCTCTTTAAATTATTTAAATATTTAAAATATTTGGGTTTTTCATATAAGAGAAACCATATGATATTCAAGCTTGTGTGTCTGATCTAACATTACTGTGTTCTGATGCATACATTTTCCTATAAATAACGCAAGTGAATCCTTCTCTATGGCTAAGTAGTACTCCAGTGTTCATAAATACCATAATCTGGTTTGATGCACATATCAGCAACTTCCAAGATTTAGCTATTATAAGTTGTGCGACCATAAAGTATGCATGTATCATTGTAATATGATATCTTTAACTCTTTCAGGAGTGAAAAAAGACCTATAAGGGGAATAGTTGGACCAAAGAAAATATCTAGTTTTAGTTTTTTGAGAAATCTTCATACTAATTTCCATAGTAGTTGTACTAGTTGTCTACAATAATGTAGAAGAGTTCCTTTTCCTCCACAGCCTTGACAGCAATTGTTATTATTTGATTTCTCAATGATAGCCTTTCTTTCTGGGGTAAGACAACCTCAGTGTGGTTTAATTTGCATATCTCTGATGGTCAGAAATGTTGAACATTTTTTCTTGAATTTATTGGCCATTTGTATTTCTTCTGAGTATATATTCATCTCAGTTGCCTATTTCTTGGATATTTATTTTAAGTGGTTTAATTTTTTTGAGTTCTTTATACATTTTAGATATTAGTCTTCTGTCTGAGGAGTAGCAGACAAATTTTTTTTGCTATTCTGTGGGTTGTCTCTTCACTCTATTGCTTGTTTCCTTTGCTGCACAGAGGGCTTTTAACCCCATACGATCACATTTGCTGATTCTTGATGTTATTTCTTGTGCAACTGGGGTTTATTTTTTCCAGGAAATCCTTCCTTATCCCTTTTTTTAAAAAAAAATCCCTAATTTTGTATTCTAGCAGGTTAAATGTTTAACACTTAGATCTTTGATTCATTTTTTTAATTTTAGTACAAAAGCAATGAAAGATATAGGTCTAGATTCAATCTTCTGCATATGTATAGCCAGTTTTCCCACCACCATTTGTTTAAAATGCTAACTTTCCTCCTATATATGTTTTAGTCTCTTTGTCAAAGACCAGATGCCTAGGGCCAGGGGTTTAGTTCAGTGGTTCCGCTGCCTGTCTCACAAGCGCAAGGTCCAGAGTTCAATCCCCAGTACCACCCCCAAAAGATGGCTGAATGTGCCTGGGGTTGTTTCTATATCCTTTATTCAGTTCCACTGATCTCATGTTTTTGCACAAGTACCATACTGTTTTTGTCACTGCAGCTCCATAATATAATTTAAAATCCAGGATTGTGCTGCATTCTACTTTGCTATTGTTTTCCAGGTTTGCTTTTGCTATTCTGCATCTCTTTTGGTTCCATATGAATTTTAGGATTATTTTTCTTAGTTTTGTGAGGACTGCTGCTGGTGTCTTGATTGGGATTGCATTAAATGTATATATCACATTTTGTATTATGGCAATATTGTATTATTTGACAATATTGTTGCTG